AAATATAACTAGCTCTCAAAAGTCTATCCAATGAGATGCTCTGAAGAGTATAGAATTACTTAAGAATTTCTTTTAAGCAAACATCAGAAGAACCAATCTTTATTGATTCACGTTTTATATGTGCAATTTTTATTTAAACAAATAAATAAATATTTCAAGTGTTTTCTTTAGTATTCATATGTGTGCTACTGATATCTAGGAAGATAAGTAGTATATATCATCAATCGAAAGTCAAATGCCTGGTGGCAGAATGTTCGTAGAGAAATGGATGGGAATAGAGAATGATTGGTTGGGAAACGACGGGACAATGATGTCTGAGACGATTGATTGACATTTTGCAAATGAAGTCTTTATTGTACAGTTCTCGGATTTTACTAATATGTTCTGTAATTTCATATTCAAACACATTCTATTGTCCCTATTTGTGTTCTCGTTCAACACAATATCATCACGAATTAATGATATCACAACAGATTTTTCTCCTTCTTACACTTAAATGTCCTAAGCATTCAATAGTGGCATTTTTTACAAAGTTATTTGTTAGGTAAATTGCATCTGATAGTGATTCTTGAATTTCATATCTAAACTGAAAATGTATTATTACATGGTGGATTAGTTCAGCAGTGTAATATATTATGACCATGGTGGGTTTTCAGTGAAAAGTAGACAGGAGTCCTTATTTGATCTACATTTTGTACGAGTTGACGCTCACGAACAAGGTATATCTACAATGTTGAAGGGACTGATACTCCTGAAGAATTCGAATCTAAATGACCCGAGTTTATAGTATAAAAAGCTATTGGACGACTGTTTTGTCAAAATGCAGTACTTCTCAGAAGTGCACCTTTCCTACCCCCACCTAAGATGAAACCTGAAACTTTAAGTCATATGGCAAATCCTGAACGTTTATACCACTGAGTTGTCATCCAGTGGCTTATATTTTTAACTTCAATCAACTTACCATATTGTGTAACCATCTTCTTCTACACCAATGAGCAGTTCCCTCACATTCAATGTAGCTGAACTTCACTCTACACGATCTCTTACTGAAACGTCGGAACTTGCCTCTTGAGATCACTCACTATTAAATACATAATCAATAAAACAACAAGCATCATGTTTGCTTATTACACAATCACATTTATTTTCTCATTTCAATTGAAGCTAGACCACTATTGAAAACTTGGAAGCACTGGACGGCCACGTCGTCCTAGTATGGGACTGCTCAGGAGTGTGCATTCAAAACCCGCCTCGTGAGATGCGAACCCAGGACCTGTTGGTCTCTCTCGAGCGTTTAACATCTAGATCATTGAGTCGACATCCAACAGTGTTAGTTTCTGACTTCAAATAATCCACGAATTTCGCCACCGTCCATTATTGTCGTAAATGAGTTACAATCTCACAACAAACCTGGTTGAATTCTACTGATCATGGCTTCTTCCTAGAACTCCAAGAAATACCTCTTGGATGTGCACTGCCACTGAGGTATGCCATACTAGAACGAAACAGCCGTCCAGTGCTTCCAGATTTTCCGTGATGATCTAGCTGCATTTGGCTAATGAATTCAACTATTAAAAATTACTAAAATCTCATAGAAATCCCCTTCCAATATAATTTTTATCAATTTGATGTTGTAGTCATTAACTGATTATCAAGTTTGTGTAGAACCAGTTTATAATTTAGGGTATTCTGTGTAATGTTATCACATTTTCAAAGAGTTAATAATGCTTCGTTTGTTGTCATCTGCATTTCGTTTTAGTATGGGACAGAAGATGATTTTGTGATTTTGCGAATCAATAAAATCATAATGGAGATTTTGTAGAGATGATAATAATTTTAATAGTTGAATTCATAAGTCGATCACAGGTAGACCACTATTGAAAACTTAGAAGCACTGTACAGCTATTTCGTTCTTGTAAAAGACTCCTTAGCAATGCTCATACATGATCCCACGCGCGGAACTCGAACCCAACTTAATGTGTTATATCTAGAAGCTTGTTCTTGATATATCGCGTATAACTTGGGCGCTACAACGCCAGAACCCTTCCAAGTCGCAATGAGAAGACAGGAGACTAATGAATGGAATATTATTCCAGACAGTGTCAATTATAGTACAAAATTTTCAGGTATTTATAGCTTTTAGTAAATTAAATCATCATTACAGTCCACCAATGCGCATACAGAGGGTCATTAACATTGTCCAATCGGGAAGCTACACGTAGGAATTCTAGAGTATTCTTCCAAAAGATATTTGGATGGAATTTCTTCGGCTTTCTCTGAGTCTCCTACAGCTTCCTCAAGTTCACCCGTGGTCCGTCGTCAAACAATTGTTTTTAGGTTAAGGAATTGTGTGCAAGAACAAATATCCTGGATTCTAGTCCCACATGCAGGATACGCTCTGCCATTGTGGTATCTCATACTAGAACCAAACAGCCGTCCACTACTTCCAGTATTCCCATAACGATCTAACTTCAATTCACTCATTAATTCAACTATTCAACTAACTATCATCTCCACAAGACTACACCCAATCCCTCTTTGATTATATTGACAAAATATTGTTTCATTTCTCGTCTGTTTGTCTTTTCCCATTTATTCACAATTAGGTTTAACGGTTGCTTGTTGTAATCCAAAAATCGGTAAGAAATTTGTACAAACATTTGCTGATTGTTATCCAGAAACTTTATATAAATTTATATTAATTAATCATGGTACATTTTTTCATGGTATATGGAAAGCAATTAAAGTTTTCATTGATCCAAATACAGTAAAAAAAGTGAAATTACTTCGTAAAGAAAAAATTCAACGAACATTTAATGAAATGTTTACCCCAGATACAATAACATGGTTATTAGATGAAATTAAATTAAATAAAATCAATATCACAGAAAATCAATTGAGATTTTGGGAATCACCACATTCATATGAATTACATGATCCACGTGGTACACATGAATATATTCAACGTTGTATAGAACCATTAAAATTATTCATTGAACAACAACAACAACAACGTCAGCAACCACAGCAACAATCTAATCAAAAATCCATTATATTAACATATGATAATTTAGGTTTAAAAACTCATATGCCACATACAAATATTATGGATTGTTTAAATAAAACATTAAAACAAGTTAAAATTCAATCATTCTATAATGGTAAATATATTAAACCAAATAAAGAAGAATTACAAGCATATGGAGTTGATATCAATGATAATCTATCTGAAATTAGTGGAGGATCTGAAGAAGAATAATAATGATAATGATAATAATAATGAAATGATTTAAAATATGCTCCTTTTCATGAATTGATCTTCTTTTCATTAATAATCTTAAAACTCTATTTTGATCTTTCTATTCTGTTCATTTGACTTCAATGATCATTGTTCAATATAAAGTTGTATATTGAACCCTTGTGTAATATTTTTTTATAAAAAAGTTTTTTCGCTTCAGTGTAAATTTCTGATATTTCAATTGATTAAAAAGAATTTAGGCAAAAACTATAATTTATGGATGTAAGCATCAGCTGGTAAATTTGGCGCCGTGACATTGAAATCCATCAGACGTTTCTGATTGGTTCGTCTGCAAATTATAGTATCGAGACTATTAGCCAATCAGAAAACAGTTAATATAGAGTAGAAATATATACTAAACAAAGCCAAAGAATTAAAGTGGATACACTTCTTTTATATGATTTATAAACTTTTCAAGGTTAGAAAGAGGTTCAGAAGTTCTGAAATCGTAATGCATACAGTAGAGGAACTTATCCATATGGCTCCATAATAGTTGGCTTCTCGAGCCATAATAGTATCGTAAAAACTCTTCCAGCCTCGACCACATAACTTCATTATTGTTTGTGTGCACTCCGGTTGTTGGATCCACAAAATGCCGCTTGTGGACAACGACACGATGCTCATAACCAATTCTATATAGGGGCCTGTACGCTCTCCAATCCTCTGTATATATTGTTATGCCTGGCTGTACATATTCCCGAGTACTTGGTATTATTGTCATTGCCTATCGGTTTCTGACCTGCTGGAAGTGTCCCTATTGAGATTATAAGTCCTAAATTCCAAGGACCTCTGAGGTATATGTATGGAAGTGCTACTTACCCAGTCTATTTTATTACTACGTTTTCTGTTACATTTTCGTTTCCTGACTATTGTTTCGTCTATTTCAACGATTCTCTCAACTCCCTCCAAAAGACTCGCGTAAGCTTGTCGTTTTTGTTGCATATATACCTCTACAATACTCATACCACTGAACATCCAAAGCTTCAGTAATCAAGAAAGTAATCGTTAATAATTTTTAATAATACTGTAGTGAATGAGAACACAAGTGGGACAATCAAATGTATGTGAATACACAATTACAGAACGCCTTAGTAGTAGTATCTGAGACCCATATAGTAAATACTTCATTTGCGTAATACCAATTAATTGTCTTAGACATCATTGTTCCTTCGTTTCCCAACCAATCATTCTCTATTCCCATTCCCTTTTCTTCGTAATTCTTAACCTTCTACCACCAGGTATTTCGCTTTCGACTGATGATATATACTACTTATATCTCTCGATATCAGTAGCACATATCACAATACAAACGTAAAATTATGATAGTTTGGTATTCGAAATCTGTCGGCGACGTTAGATCCCCAAAACTCATATTTTGTAATTTTATTTTTGTGCAGCTTGTATGCAGATGCATGCTTGGGCATTTCTTACCACCCACGCAGATAGTCGATTGACGAACTTATCGATCAAACTTATACGAATATTCGTCAATATTAGAACGAATAGTTTGACAGAAATCGGGCCCGAGTAAATGTTTAAAAACTTCCATGGCAATATCGATTATATATATTTTGTATAAATACTCTTGATTTGTGTGCTTGATGCACCTGTTATCTTCTGTTTGTCTGTACAATACACTTTCTACATTTTACCAAGACTTCTGGATCGAGTTAGCTGAGTCGGGGACAACGGATCAGTATAGCCTATCGAGTCTCTGAATCCTCGATTCTTCGTTCGTTCCGAGTAAGACGAATCAGTAGTAGCATTCAAGTTGACGAACATAACAAAATTAGAATTTAGTAAAGTAAGGTTTCGAATTTGTTATTTGAACTCATCAAGAATGAATATTATTTAAAGTACTGATGTGTGGGCGAGAATGATAATGATTGATTGTTTGTTTAGTAAGCCAACTAGAAAGTCTGACAAGTGTCAGCTGAGTTATATATTCCCCTATCATTATCATTATTTATAATTATTCATTGTTCCTTGTTGTTGAATTGTGTCGAGTTTTTGGTGTGGAAATATATCTGCGTTTTAATCACGCTATCACATGTTCTTGATCCGAGTTGTTTTGAAGTTCTATAGAATAATAGACACGGGGAAGGAATCTGGTGTAGATATTTGTCTAAGGTAAATTAACGTCTCATACGTGTAAACGTGGAAAACCAACCATCATAACAAGTACATTGAATTTGTTATAATAAAAACAAAAGGTAACTGATTGAATCATGTATCTAATACAGAATTGATAATACTGAATTGAACACTACTTAAAATGTAATTTGAAAATGAACGTATATAAGGAGAAAATGAATATTGATTGGCTTTGAAGAACCGGTGCAAAAGAGACAACATCAACCTTCTGAGTAACAGATATTCCCTTCATAATCTCAATATTTGATCACAGTTTGTAATGTTGAATATCATCTTATCAAGTGAATTGTAATGTGATCGTTACAAATCAATTAAATGGAAGGACAGCTTTATGATAATCAAGATAGTGAATGTTACATATACATTTCAACTCAGAATTCACCACTTGTTAAAATACACTTCATTGTGGGTTCAACTAAGAGTTTGTTGTTTGCTTCAATCTCACTGATATGCATTATTTCATCATATTGAAGAAAGTAGAAACAATTATCGAACTAACTAAACTTACAGTAAAATTGAGTACAATGAATATTTGAACAAACCAGTCAACATTGTAAGAGGGTATTTTGTTGCGTGAAGGTAAGGCCGTGTGTAATGACTAACATTCGTCTTCAAATTCAACCAGTGTATACCTTCCATCAAATGTTTGTCTCAATGTATCTTGATCATAACCAAAACCATCTTTCACCTAGTCAACAATGATTTTCAACTGATCTGGCAATAAATATTGAATTGATTGCGGTTGGTGATGATGAAGAAACTTCTGACTTGTATGCTTCGCTATTCCACTTAATATTCTGAATGATTTTCCTCAAGATCATTTTCAATCTGAAGTTGAACACGACATCTTAATAGTATAGTTGAGTTAATCTGAGCATTCGTATGCATTAGACCATGTGTTGAACTATGGTGTTTTGACGCACTGTTTGAAGCTACTGATATTTGTATAAGTAGTAAAGAAATCAATCAGTAATGACAATAACAACGTCAATTTAAGCCATAACAATAAATTCAAAAATTAAGATTCTAAATCGCATTAGCTGCATAACACCAATACTCTTTGAATGATACAAGTTTCCAGGAATCGAAGTATCATTCAACATATTGTTGAGTGAACCAGATTTTTAAATGATGAGTGAATAGCAAAATATCACAGTATTCAGTCTGTGTAGATTTCGATTATTCAAGAAATCAATCAAACTAAGTGAATAACACGATGCCGCTTGAAACGAACGATACTGGGTTCGAGTCACGGAGGGAACATCAATTCTAGGATGCAAGGATATCAAGTTGACGTGTGACAAACAGGGAGAAAAGCACATCATGGATTGCATTGACAGTCACCAGCCATATTTCCTGATAAAGATTGAGTTATATTGATGAGGACAGACAAACGTAATGTATTCGGATTTAGTAATCGAACAGTCTTCAAGTACGAAGGTATCACTAATTTATACAAGCACCACAAACCTGTTTATCGTATTCATTGAGGAATAAGATTTGCAAAACGATTGAGAATTCTGTCTCATTCATCTTATTGAATATAACACAACATCAAATTTTATCATTCCTGTCATATCCAATAAAATATTCAAAGTAATATTGATTACTTCTTCAATCTTATTGTAAACAACGTGTTTGTCTAATGAACAAACATATTTGTGTTGACCTCTTTTTGTTTATAGAATCAGCTATGATTATACTTTGTTTATCATTGATCACCTCATTCCATCTCAAATAATCAAATAATATGGTATTCTCTATTCTGTATTGTGGGTGTAATATCAGTCTTCGTTAGAATAAAACAACATCGCTTTCTAATAATAAGTTGTTTATTTGGCTGACAGTCATCGACATACAAACATCAAAGATGAGTGAAATTCTCATTTTACAAATTATTACTACTTTTGTAATAAGAAGATGAAGTGAAAGCAAATGTTCTGGTTGTCGATTCATAGATGGTGTTGCTCCAACTATGAATAAACACTCCAGTCATTTACCATCTCAGTTTTATTGTTCAACTAACTTCATATTTTGTGATGAGGATAAGTCTTCTATGTGATTCCTGTTTTGTCACAATTCTGATAGATTTACATACACAGAATGAGTTGCATAGCGTTAAACATGGAGTGTATCTCTCTGGTGATGTGAAATTAAACTACTATGGCGAATACGACAATACTTGAATCCATTAATCAATCTGAGCTAGACCACCTTTAAAAACGTGGAATCACCGGAAGGCGTTTAGTATAATGCTCATGAATCCCAAGGTTAAAATTACTGCAATCTCAACGGTTACCCACTCTGACATTATTGTAATGCTGTTTAAAGTTTTGTTAGAAAAAGAAAAGTCTCATATATATGCCATCATTCGATGTCATTAATAACTCTAACAGTCCATTTAGAGAAAATCTGAATGACGTTAAAAACCTTCTACAAACTAAGGTTTGGACTGAAGAATGGGTGTCTAGGTGGGTTGAATACGGGCCTTTGCCCAGATGAAAGCAAAACAATGTGATTGAGTAAAATGATGATTCTGAAATTCATTATAAATTTAAATGTACCCTATTACCTAAACAAATATGACCACCCAGTTATTCAGCCAATAATTGTTCAATGAATCAAATCTAAATTACAATAAATAAGGAAGTTGATAAAGGATGCGAAAAAATTACCAATCGCAACAAATCAATGTTATTCCATCCTGTCTGGATAGATCACGCACAGATTCGTTCAGAACATACTATTTGATTGCTTTATAACACAGAGTGCTGTCAATTCTGGAATTGTGTCTCAATTCACAATCAATAATGTACAATTCTAGTCAATACAAGCAACACAATCAAAAGGAGGAACAAACCAATGCAAACCAATATGGCTGTTGCCAAGACTTAGTATCAAGTAAACACAACATAAATGCAGTTCAGGAAGAAACATGGAAACTTAGTGAAGGTGTAAGAAAAATAAAAACTATAATAAAATACAAATATGACCAAATGAAATGGAATCAAATAGAATAACAAAATGTAAAACCAAAGGAACAACAATAGGAACAAACTACAGATGTGTACATGGAGGGATGTTCACACACACACACAAAAAAAAAACCTTCAAAATGGATCCATTCAAAACAACGTCAGATAAAGAGAAGAGTTAAAAGCAAAAGTAATCATTTTAAAAACGTCTATTTATACTGGAGGGATAAAAGCTATGATACTTTACAAGACTAGTTATTTCACACTAAGAATGATGATCTGAGTATTCATTATGGAAGTGGTTATTGTCCAATGTTAATTAATATCCATCGTTAGAACGTGCTAGAATATCGCTCAAAATATGTAGATGGGTACATCAGTCTTAGAATAATGTTACACTTTGAACAAACTTCGATTGGGGAAGAAACCGTACAACCTTAAACTTGTTGTACTGATAAAAGAACTGAAAAGGTTGAAAAGGCTGATGTTAGCGTTCAATGATGCCTGACTTAATACTGACCGATCAACGAATTGTTAATGTACTTTACTTGACAGCTTCTTCGAATAACCAAGCAAAGTTGTTCTAGCCAACACAATGTGAACTTCACGAGTAACTTACTGTGGAAATATTTCCACAGTATTTATAGATAAAATATTTCACAGTCAGTGGTATGGATGAAAATCCAAACCGGAATAACACCGTAAGAATCATCATGAAACGAAATTTTTATTTCTTCACATAAACTACAAAAATGACTACAATAAACACAATGTGTGACGCTTTGTCAATGAAACTAGATGCATTCCAGGATATATGACTTTTGATTGAAATTATGGACCGACAAATGTTGGAACTTTATTAAAAACCCGGAATCACTCAGCAGCCTGTTTGTTGCATTACGAGACCCCATAGCAGAAATTGAATCTAAGACCTTCATTCTTGTGCGAACGTTTAGTCTCTTGCCACTGAGTAGCATCCAACGGTGTTCACGTTTAACTTCAACCAATTCACGACATTGCGCGACCACCTACCATTTTTTTGTTAGGTAACTGTCTCACACTGAACACAGTTGAACTCATCTGGAATGACTGAACAATGAAGTAGTATTAAGAATCAACTGACGGAAGACATGCAAGTGAAGTGTGGAATGTTTGGTTTTTATATTATATGAAGACACTCTGTGATTCTGCATCTAACAATAAATTGTTCATTCACACCTGAGTTCTCACGCACTACAGACACAGTTCCTAGATATCACCAAAAACTGGTCCACGATACTGATTAACAAGAAAGTGTGACTTTGATTTAGGAGAGAAGTTCACATAATTCCCACCCAACTCGAATAAACAATGATCATCGATGCAGATTACAAGACGATGATGATCTACATGTTGATTGTGAAGAAGTGAATGACAATTATAAACTGGAGTGATAGGAAAAATAGAGGAACATGCACGTTTCTCAGTAGTTGTAAACATTGTGTAAAACCGAGAGCAAGATAAAATGAAATATAGTTTTCCAATGAATGCTGAATGAAGTTTACCTCTTCTTTTCATTATTGTTGCTGGTTGACCATCCCTAAACTCCATCCCTGATATGACGGGGAACCCTTTTATATAAAACACTTACTGGGGGCACAGTCTAGAAACTCTAAGGATAAGCATTATTTATTAGTCAGATTCTATCAGCTGTGGTGGATAACCCATCGATCCTGGCAAAGCATACCGGAAATCAACGTTTCAGATCACAATTTCAAACTGTTGTGATAGTCCATATCACATATCTCAAGTATCAACATAGAGAGTTTGTACGATAATGAAAATCAGAAATAAAAGGCGAATAATAATGAAGAGCACCTGCTGGTTAGCATAATTGTGTAGGGGTTTTTAGAGATGGTGAAATTGTAAGTGAAGCTTATCGCCTCATATCTGGTCTAGAATCAATAATTTCAGCTTACTATCCAAGACATTCAACACCAAACACATAAAATGAACCTCACATTTGACTTGACGACAATTTTCACTCAAGCAGACTACAAAGAAAGTAGTATGTCACTGACCGTGAGATATTTTTGATGAAAAGCATAAAGATTGAGATCATCTGGACAAACGTCAACTCTTTTAAGATCACTGACTACATGATGGACCACTTCATGAAATATGGCTGGAGAACAACTTAAACCAAATGGAATGTAATTATATTTGAATAGACCACGAAGAGTGATAGTTGTTGTCAGATCTGATAAAAGTCTATCCAGAAGAATCCGAAGAAAGGCGTACTTCAAATCAGCCTTAATGCACACTTTAGAAGAATGAGCATGGCTAAAAATATCAGCAGCATCACCTGTGGTGTGTGTTAGCTTCAACAAATGGGAATTCAACGTTGAGCAATGAATTCTTATCCATTCACAACACTTAACGCAATCAGTCATGAAATGTTCAATCAAAGCATCGGAATCTTCTTTGAAAGCTATTGAAGGCAGGTTCACTCTGCGAATTTGTAAAGTCAAATCTTTGTACAAAATAACGAAACTATATACTACGTTTGTAAACAATCTAATTATAGAACGAACCGAAAAGGGTATATAATCTCATTTTTATGTGGAAATAAAACCAAAAACATCATGATTAGATGTGGATTATTACCATCAAAAGTTCCAGTCTTATTAAGATGTAATAACGTGGTTTGGAATCATTATTAACGAAATGAACAGTAGTTTAACATATCATCATGATAAACCCCTAAAATTATTGCATATTCAACACATTCATAACACCTAATTAACAACAGTCTGTCAACCAGCTTTCACTCAACAGTGAATAGTCAAATAACAAAGGATTGACGTGCCTTGGTAAATATTGATGCCTCATTCCGACAGTTAAGTTTAAAACAATGAACGACGTCAATTTCGAACGATATTTCTCAGTATTGAGACTTTAACAAGATGGACATTTACAACGGACTCAGTTTTGATTTCAATGGTCACATACTCACGTATACACGATACTGTTAATTGAGAAGTGCAATGTTGTAACCTCGTGTGAAATTACCCATGTTTCTTTTATTGAATGAAAACAATGACATAAATACAAAAAATTATATTTTTATATTCTACCAACAAAGTGACATCAGTCATTACGTAAACAATCATCAATGTGATATGCAGTTCCATGAAACAATCTTCAATGTATTGAAATGATTAACAAAATAGAAAGTGTGTTACTAAACTAAAAAATGAACATAACAAAGTCAACTTGATGAAAACAAGTGACAAGCTGTTTGTTGGGACTATGCATAAACTCTCTTCCTTCTGTAGAACCACAGCCAAATGCCAATGCCAATGCATACAATAAGGAAAGATATAACTAATGGCACAACGATGTACACGTATTGCGGTGATTTTCTTTTCTCTATGTCTGTTGTTGTATCTGTGGTCATGTTCTGAAATGAACGAAACAGTATAATGATTAGAAAATATCAAATATTTACCAAATGTGATTCATTGCTTCCACTGGTCTCCTTCAATTCATTTCTTAGATCAGTTTCAGTTGTTGCTACAGTTGTTGGTTCACTGGAAACCTCGACAATCGAACTCTTCAGAAGAAAGAAACAGTGGAAATATAATTAAATATCAAATATTTCATCATTCATTATACACCATTGTCAGTATTGATGACACAAGTGAATTCAACATTTGGTTACATAATTTACATTTGCACAATGTGATCAGTGAATAATGATTTAGAATATCTGCTACTGATTTGACAGTCAATGTGATAAGTCCACACTATCCATAACCTAACTGACGACTTTTGTTTTGGTGATGAAATTTGTTTCCTGGATGTCACATCTTATCACAATCTATACACTATTCAACAAACTTATGACTGACGGCTTTATTGAAGCAATTCATTCAGGGTACACATTTCTCAACAAGGAATCAGAAATACTTGTTCTGTACTTCAACAATGGGACTACGAACTTTCACTCATTATCGGAACATGCTACACAATTTTCAACAGATTACGCTTCATCATTCAAACTGATTTCATCTGTATTCTTCAACAGTTCACGTAGATATACGGTTTCAAATAGAACATCGGGAATCACTACACATTCTATGAGCTAAAGAATTAACATCTTTCTAGGCATTGGTGTTAACCAACTCTTCTATTCATTGTTGAATGTCCACATGGAAATGGAACATTGCATTCATATGTGCTTAAATATCGTATAAGTTACTTTGATTTACGCACTTAGGGTACAATAGAAATCACTACTAATTCGTAACTATACAAATGTTCTTCCGAAAAAATAGATTGCAATTTGGAATATCGTAATACTAAGAACAATCTTCGAAGTCTACCAATTGCTTACTTTATTCCGACAACCATTTTCTTTAAAGTCACGATCATCCTCATCATTTCTAGTGATGCATGTATTGGCTATTTCACACCAAATACACTTTGGATTCGATGTTGCTCCGCCTCGACATGCTTTAATCGAATTGTGATTCGGACAATCTTCAGTGAAAAAAAGAAGGTGGTTGCATTTCAAGTTATCAAACAAAAGATAAGTGAATTACAAAACATGTAACTGTAACCGAATGATGGCGATTTCGGAGTTAAATGAGTATTTCATTCTCTGGGCATTTGTCATCACATTGCTCAATCCGAAATTCAATACACCTTCAATGTCATTCACATTTCCCGAAAACATGTTGGAACTGAATAAAATTGCATTGAGAATGTCACGGATGTCAATGACTGTTAATATTAGAAAACAAATGTACACGCTAGACGGTTAACGAATCTCGTTTCTGCTTTATGATTCGAAAATATCTCGTGTATGCCATTTTTACATATGCAAAATGGAGTATGACATTGTTATTTCACTCTAACTGACTATTTAGAAGCCGATGCACGAACGTCAGTTGTTCTCAGGGAGAAAATTTATATTCCATTATGTTAATTCAATCGAACAACAAAGGGAGCGTGACATTGGTTCTCAATTAATTGTCGAGAATTTCCTTGAAGAGATTTCCGTCAACCTACAATGATAAAAAATTCAAACTACGTGGCTACATTCTAGTCTGTGTGCAATCAGTAAGCACGTAAGACTAGTTGGATTATGAAAAATCAGCGACAATTTTTATTCAACGAATATTGAGGTCGATCTGGACATCAGATTATGGAATGATTCTCCCAGTTGTCGGAATGTTATTTCAATAGGCTAACACATGATGAACGGAACAATGTTTCCAAGGCAATTACAGTTTCCTGAAGTGTTTCTCCAATGTCAATTTCTCGGCGAAGTTCGATATCGCATGTACCAAATGAAAATCAAATGACACTTCCCACTCAATGCACAATCAACTAACAGACTGATATCACCTCATCCATCGTCTTGCCACATTTTGTTCAAGTAAATTTCATCAAACTGAAGACTTCTGTTGTAGTTCAAAATGTGTCTAGAATCATTTTAAATACTCAACAGTGAGTCGTTGTTTGGTGTAACGTCAGTTGTGACTGATGGCTTGATATCATTTAATAGCTGTCTGAAATCATACATGAAATTTCCAATTTTATGAAACAAAGTTGATTGATTCAAGTGTGAAAATAGTCAACTCTGATAAAATAAAGTTAGACATACCACCGATAGCTTCATATTCCACTAGCGTCCCACTCTCGATCCAATCAACAGGAATATATATTATAGGCACTTTATAATCTATTGTAATTAATTGTACAGAAGAAGACAGTTAAAATTCTGATTTCCATTTTGGATATAACATGTTGTTTGTTCGTTTAAGAGGAGATCAAAATAAGAAACTGTTTAATATCTGATTATAGATACAATGGTGGTCAAGTAACATCCTTATGAAATATGCTCTACATCACTTAAGGTTCTGAAAGTGACCGATGTTCAACCACTAAATGAAAAATGATATCGATAAAATTGCTGATTTGTTTTACTAAGGTATGAGTGCAACATCTACACAAAAAATATGTTTATCTCGTCACAATTTGTTTCAGAAATAGTCAATATTGAGAGGCTGCAAGTTTGACTGTCTATTAGTGGGTGAGTGAATAAATGAGTAGATATATCGTCTGTCTAGTATCCTCGTTCATATATTCCTGTCTGGATCGTTAAGACTATACAGAAGACTTCTCCAAATATCTATCTGCAAATTCGTGATGAAGACATTCACACATCTTAGTTATATTACTCGGTATACTAAATTAGGCAAGCGTCAGCTGACGTGGATCTTGAAATTCTTTTTGATGGAGCTTAGCACAAAAAGATAAAACAATACGATTCCGATTGAATCACAACAACTCAAATCTGTTTTGCGATATCAACGAGGATGACGGTTGTTGAATTGAGGATACAAATACTTTGGTATCAATTCGAAAGACAAAATATTTTCAGGATGAGTTTTGATTATGAATTTTTATTACATGTGACACTTGAATGTTGCTTCAAGATTTCTAAACACCAAATTGACGATGAATTTTCAATACACAGTAACATTAGGACAGTGAGTTTGCCTAAATTATTCAAATTCTATTTCACAGAATTTTCCTCAGCACTTCAACATCATTTCCATCAATTTATTGTACAAACAAAAACAACTGAATATTGTAGACTGTAAGAAACACAAATTCGGTCACCATTATGAATTACAGAAAATCTGCACGTTGACATAGTGATGATCGTGTACAAACAGAAGGTAACATCATGATAACAGATGACTACTCATGTAGATCAATGTAGATTATAATGTAAATAACGTTTGTTACCTATTTCACACAGGATAAAATACATAAAGTTCGATGAAACATCTTGTTTCTCAAGTCCTATAGGAATCTGAAAAGGAGCAATGGAAGTCTGAGTCAAGATCTATCAATACACAACCACTTATATCAAAACCAACCAAACATTGAAGCAATGTGTCGTCATTTGCATTATCTTGTTCAAAGACAACTAATCACACTTACAGTAAGCATACTGATCTCGTCGGTTTCCTAAGAAATATACTCCATCTAATTTGCAAAGATATTCTGCCTCACCTCAGTTGACAACTTCAGTGAAGTTAGATGAACGATCTATTTATCATGGAATGAGGCTATATATAGTAAGATGAAGATCTACGTCCGTTGGTAGAATTGTGATTGTGAATAATTGAAATGTCGCTGAACGTGAATTTGTTGTCCTGTTGTGGAATTGTGTTTGTGTGCTTACTTATATCAATTACAGTTCATTTCTCAACAGAATTCATTCCACAATTTGTTCTGATTACCTCGAAACAAACAAGATGGCATGAGTTCAACACTCATACAATTCATCATCTCACCAGCCATTTCTAGTCGTCCAGTATTTATTGTATTCCAAATCGATAAAATTCTAAATAGTGACATTCGAGCAAATACAATCTGAGGAGCGATCAAGATTTTAACAACATCTCTCTCAAAATATTCAATCAGGAACTTTCCCAACAACTGGTCTGTATAATGCTGAAAATGACCGTTCACGCAGAGAACTCTGACACACACTCTTTGTGGTTAATTGGCTCGAAGGTATCAGAATTCGTTTACATATTACACCACTTCTTTGTTGTTCATTATTCTAAAAAGTGCTAGAATAAATTGTGTCATCAACGGATTATTAATACTTTCATAAAGTCTGTATACACAATACAAAATGTTGGTGTCCTTTTATCCTTATCCATATATTTCGATGTATTTGACAGTGCTGATATGCATGAAATAATAGAATAATCCATTCATTTGCTCAACTTACGTTCTCATAATAGAAATATATCTTCCCATTCGAGTGTATCACGTTCATTATCTTGATTGTATCACCTGCAAAAGATAAAACTATCGATATTTAACATTTCAATGATTAGTGTCGAGCATGTCATTGCTAGATGTGACACTGTATGTGCCTACACACACATTGGGATCAGATTTCAGCAGATATTTACTGTGTTATCTCAAATGTTTTCAGTAGTTGAATTCGTAATGAAAATAATCTCGTGAATATTGTGCAAATGAAATAAGCATGAATGTCAGATGCCTAGTTTTCTTAGTTTTCATATTCAAACAATAAATCATCTAGTTTCTAATCAGATCCGATAGTTGGAGTGGTATTCAAATTGGTGGAATGTTTTCTATATTTCAGCTGATACAATCGACTCTAGGAGAAAATGAAATGAGCTGCGGTTTGTTTGTTTATAATCCGAGTTTTAGAATTTATTTAGTTATGTAACACATTGGTATATCAGTCGATCAAATGACTTTGACCACATTATTTGTTAAAGATGAGAAGTGAATACGCTTAACACATATCGTTTTAACGACCTCTTAATTTGAAAGAGTAGAAGCTAAGAATGATCGTATAATGAGTGAATATCCAGATGAATGTGATGTATACAGAAATGATTTTCCGATGAACACATATGTACAGACCTGTCATCATGTTCCTTTGAAACCTGTCAATGAAGATGAATCTCTGTATTCGTTTATCTACAAATGAAATGTGATTATGACCTAATGTATCCAGACGTATGTTAATTATTCTTTAAGTTTCAATCGAATATGTATGGACAATCAATGGGTTCTATGTATATTTAGCCTTTGATTTTGTAGAATGGGTACACTTGAATACTTTCGTCAGGCTTTTTTAAAGACGAATTCAATTACTCAAACTGAATAGAAAACAGTTGAGTAATAACAATCAATGATGATGATGATGATGATGATGATGTAAAGTGCTAATAGTTTACATGTGATCAAACAATCATGGATATGGATACATACTTTTATCAACAATATTTGTACGACAAGACCTTCTGACAGCTAAAAATTCCTCTGAAATAATGAAAGTAAAATAAATTTGTGTTCATGTATCTGTATAATGAATATTTACCTCTGTCAATAAACTAAATGTGTTTGAACACAAGTTATGATGTTCCTTTTCAAGATTGAAGTGAACCAATTCAACTAAATGAGAGTCTCAATGATCTGCATTCTGAAATGTTGGGCTTGTTTGTAAGCTTTTGGCTAACTAAACAACCGTTAATATCTATTCGACAATAAACATACATAATCATTTTGTGAAATTCTGTTATTCTAATTGAACAGTATTCTCTTAACTGAACTAATTATTGCCCGAAAATGTTACCCCGATGACATTAATTTCAGTAAGTGAATAAAATGAATGCCCTTCATTTTGATATTCTAGGTGTTCTAATTCGAATCAATCATATTGTACCAGCCAATTATTCGTGATTGTTAGTTGATTGGATGTTTAAGGTAGTGCATGAGGTCAAATCTCATGATCAAACGATTATGATAATTAAGAATGTGTTTAATATCCAACGGTTCAACGACAGTGAATATGAGGGACTAACTATTAAGAACCGAGTAAGTGACAGGAAGATTTGGAGAACATCAAATATAAATTATTAATAGTTCATGTGCTTCAATAATCCAAACTGATTTCTCACACAACATCCCTTATTGTTGCATCTGTGATCAGCTTGATTCGTTCAATCTATCAAGAAGTGTCGTATTGATGAAATATCACTTTTATGGTAGTTCGAACAGATTGAAGAGTAGATTATTTCCACCTGAGCATTTACACCGTTTGGTGTATTATTTCTACTCAATCAATTTGTGTCTGTTTTGAAGTGAATCACGGTTTTATTTAAGATTTTCACTTCACAGTAATGAATACATGTTGTGAACATATTTTAGGGCATGAAATCACACAAATGAAATAATCACTGTGTACTGGTCAGCTCTCACGAATTAATCAAGTTAAATGCCGAATTATTTATGAATAAATGAAAAACATAAAACAAAATCTCACTGAATAATAGAAGAACTCACCCCGATCCGAAATCTCAGTTTCACAGTGAAATTTCGATGAGACAGAGTTTTGAACTAATCCGTAAGCCCCTTCTCCATAAAAAAAAATTACACCTGTGTTTATCAAATGAAAACATGCAATTAGATTAGTAATCTACAGTGAATGAATGAAAGACATTGAAATTAACTGGAGACTAGAATGAATTGCATGAAGTGTCATTAGTTTGCTGCAACGCATCAAACGATTTACAACTTGAACAAGGAAAGACATCAGTAAATGTTTTGAATCTGAAAAAATGCCTAAAACTGATCTATTGAAGTAATGAAAGAGACTTTGATTCATGGAATTGAAGTGTGAGTAAACAAAACTTAGTGAAAATTTTAATTCGAGGAAAATAATTCTCTTACCACTATTATCTACACTGAATGTGCTGATATTAGAACCGTATAATGTAAAGGGGAATTTCATAACTATTTTCTAGAAATATGCAAACATATGGATTAGCATCTCCGTTGCAAAATGTAGTTAACTCACCTCATCAGTAACCGGTTTCTCAAAATTTTCACTCACAATTGGAGAGAGCTGATTACGGCGAATTAACTGGGAATAGTCATAATAATGAGACTGAATATTTGTATTGGAACTTGACTGATGACTTACATATTTATATGTATCACTTTGGAAAATTACTTTTCCATCATTAGGAATTTCAGATTTTTCACAAACTTCATGACAGTCAAAAAATTCCGATGTAAAGACAAAGATCGAATAGATCGCTACCAACTGACCAAATGAAAATGTATATCTGAAATGGTTCAGATGAATAGAACAATGTTATCTCATTAGATCAAATTAAAAGTGATATAATACACTCATTTGCCTTAATTAAACAGTCAATACTCACATCATTTTCTTGTTTTAGACGTTGGTAGAACGTGTTGAGTTTTATATAGAATTTTGTTAAGTATTTTTATGTTACTTTCAGATTGGATGATTCAAATTGACCATTAGGATGATCAAATTTGATAAAATCACTTCATAATTATTAACCAATCGTCATAGGAGATGAACTCATTGTTAAGCAATATTCTTACACTTGCTAAGGTAATAGAGCCTGATATTGATCCACAGTTGGTTGAAATTCCTGACCCCTCCCCCTATTGATGAAAACTATTTTGGATATGAGTAAAAATATTTTAAACTAAGTAATTAGTGCTCATATTTTCATGAACAAACATTGTGTTACTTGTAATCAACTGTGAGTAGGTTGTCAACGGTGCATAGTTTTGATTTGATTGGTTAAAATCAAAGTAGCACACACTGCTTAAATTAGATAACTAAATTCACATTTTTATATTTGAATTTTATTTCAATAGAATGAATTCTTTCACTGGTTGAAATCATCAGTCAATTGAAGCTAGATCAGCATTGAAAACCTAAAAGCACTGGACGGCCGCTTCTTCTTCCTAGTATGGGACCGCATTCACGATCCCGCGCCCCGTGAGATCCGAACACAGGATCTATGAGTCTCACACGAGAGCGCTTAAGCATTAGACCACTGAGCCGACTGGCATCCGACGGTGTTATTGTCTCACTTCAACCAATCCACGAAGTTGCACTGCCAACACCGTCGTCTTCAGTGAGTTGATATCTGACAACAGACCTGGTTGAACTACACTGTTGACGGCTTCTCATTAGAACTGCAGGAGTGTCTCTTGAAGTCAGTCACTGGTGAGCAAATTATTATTATCAGGAGGGGTTTTGTGAGAGCGAGACTGATAGGTCCTAGGTTCGAATCTCGCGAGGGTCGAGATCGTAGATGCGCACTGTTGAGGAGTCTCATACTAGGATGAAACGGCCGTCCAGTGCTTGCAGGTTTTCCATGGTGATCTAGCTTCAAATGACTCATGATTTCAATCATTGGAATGAATAACAGTCCATATTTTCGTAAATCAATGATCATTTCATTGGAAAAGGCCAACACTATCTATGTTTTGATTACATTTGTAAAATAGTAATTCTTGATACTATGAAAGTGAATTGTAATATTGTATCACTAATATCTAGACTGTTATGTTATTACCATTAATGGTTCATGTAGTAGTAGTAGTATTAATAGTAGTGGTAGTAGTAGTAGTAGTAGCAGTAGTAGTAGTAGTTTTAGGTAATTTTGCAGCTTATTCACTTAGGCTGGATAAGAATTCATTTGACTGTTAGTTCATTCAATCTTATACATGAAAATACTGTTTATTGGAATAGTGAGCTTCACTTATTATATCCTTATCAATTTCTCATAAGACGACAATTCTGTAATAATCTGAACTGAAACTAGATATTCTTCAAATGTACAGGTTTATTGAACATTTCAAGGATGAAAAGAACATTTCCCTCAGTGCTAACTAAATTGTACTGTCAGAATGGGTTTTGTGGAGATCATAAATAATACGCATATCAATGAATGCAAAGAATTCTAGTAGCGTACACGCAAATATATTCAAGGATCAGTAATGATGGATCTGAACAGATTGTTTACTTTTCACTTAGGACCAAAATATAAAAAGCATATTTCTCGAATGGAATCTTTTTCTGCACAACATGCAATACATAGGTTTCGGTTATACCGTGAACGGTGATATGTTTTATCTTCTTATTTTGAGCAACATCTGACACATATAGACCTTGTGACTTCCATAGAATTTCTACTTTCACCATGAGAAGTCATAATTCTTTTAAATAAACATTTCGCATAACTCATAGCGCTGAATTAATATCGTTTAAATGATATTTTTAGATCAGAAGATTTTAAACATAGTTATATATGAACAATGATGAACATTCTCATCTGTTACCATGGAAATAATTGAAGATGGTGTGATTTGTGAAATAGGAAGGTCACTGGATGAAGGTCGGAATGACTTGTAGTAAGGTTCCAGGTTTTGTCAATATAATAATACTAATAATAATGGTGATAAGAATAACAACGCTGTGTGAATATAATATGTAATAAAAGGAGTATAGTCAAGGTAATTACGATGAAAAAGAATCAATGTGGATTAGGAAAGAGATAATCACAAAGGGAATTGGGATAATAGGTTTATAACATGCATTTGAGGTGTCTGGTGATTCAGTCGTGGACCACGGTAAACATGGAGGCTGGATATACCTCTTCTGGATATATTAGTTCGGTTTTGAGGAGTTGATCCAGATGACTTCAGTTATGTTGAGTATCCGTAGTGTAGCTCCTGTTATGTCCCCATATAAATCGTGCTACTGATTCAGGGTTTCATTACTGACCATGTCAGGTGTGTATTTCCTCAAATTAACTCTAAAATTACTTGATTGAGAATGTTATATTATCAGTATATCTACAGATATTTGGTGATAGAATGGTTCGACCGGAAAATGTATGGAAGTATCATTGTTTGAAGTAGCAATGTGAATAACTGCAGTAAAAACGAAGTGATTATACTGGGCAACACACATGAACAATGAATGATGATGACGATGATATCTGATCACTGTGGTGGAGTTGAATTGCTTGTGCTCCATTAAAAAAGCCAAGCACTCGGCACATAGAACATGGAAGAGACCATCTTAATAGAGCAACTCATCAATAAGTCAGTTCAAAAGATACAACATCATCAACATCAACCTTCTAAGCAACAGATCTTCTCTCTGTAATCTCAATATTTGACCACAGTTTGTAATGTTGAATATCATCTTATCAAGTGAATTGCAGTGTGATCGTCAGAAATCAATTAACTGGAAGGACAGCTTCATGATAATCAACATAATGAATGTTAAATTTATATTTCAAATTGATGATGATGAGGATGACGGTGATGATGAGGATGATCCCAGACATCATGTTCATCTTCGCTTTATAAATAAATATTTGCCACTTTGTGGTAGGTCGAATCGTCATTTTAGATAGCACCCTAATCATATATGTCACTATAGACCTTCTAAGAAATCTTCCAGATCAATTCGTGAATATCCACAATACTGAGGTTTGAAGACAGTCAGGACCAGATTAATTTCAATTCAGAACAGTTAAGGGAAGGAAACTTACAGAATCTTGTGATTTTGGTGGAATAATATGAATGTAAATCACATTAGCTGCATAACACCAATGTCTTTTGAATGATACAGCAATCGAACTACTATTCAACATTTGGTTGATTAAATCAATCTATTAATTGAGTGAATAGCAAAATATCACAGTATTCAATCTGTGTAGATTTCATTTGTACAAAACAAAAACCAAAATGTGTACTTCTGTTTGATGAAACACAAAGATAACTATGTGTAATCCGTCATCGAGGAGATTGATTTTTGAGGACACGAATTATTGGATTGTGATTCATTGGTTTATTTCCATAGATTACATCTTAAGACTGAAATGCTGAGTGAACAATAGCATGTAAAGAAGAGCTGTGATGGAATCCCGAATTGTAGCGAAATATAGTTTGTTGTACATTTATCAGAATTTCCCCAGCTAGCGTAAGTCAGTAATGGGAAAAACGAGTAACGTGGAGTGAAAAATCACACAGCTGTGGTGTATACTACTTCTGTCTGTCGATATAAGTAGTTTGTAACACCGATCGGAAGTGGAAAACCTGACAGCAGAAGACTAAGAAGATCGAGTTGAAGAGAATATAAGGGGAAAAAAGAATGTGTGGACTGCAAGAATCATGCAGAATGTGATGGACAAATGATGGAAATTCGCAAATGAAGGATTCAATGCAATGGTTGTGATGTTTTATCAAGGCCGCCAAATGCTCTGGTATGGCCGAGAGTATATTTATGAATGTATGTAAATAGTTACCTATTTTAGCACTCCTAAGTTACTGTCTCAATCAGTATTCATTGAACCGTAGATTAAGCGGCTTCATGAAGTTAATTGTCACGAACACTGGTCAATTCCCTCGTTACACCAAACCTACTCCATACAAACACCACAAAGCTGTATATCGTATGCATTGAGGAATAAGATTTGCGAAACGATTGAGAATTCTGTCTCATTCATCACATTGAATATAACATAACATCAAGTCCTGTCATTTCTGTCATATCCAATAAAATATTCAAAGTAATATTGATTACTTCTTCAATCTCATTGTAAACAACGTGTTTGTCTAATGAAGAAACATATTTGTGTTGACCTCTTTTTTGTTTATAGACCCAGCTATGATTATACTTTGTTTATCATTGATCACCTCATTCCATCTCAAATAATCAAATATTATGGTATTCTCTATTCTGTATTGTGGGTGTAATATCAGTCTTCGTTAGAATTAAACAACATCGCTTTCTAATTATATGTTGTTTATTTGGCTGACAGTCATCGACATACAAACATCAAAGATGAGTGAAATTCTCATTTTACAAATTATTACTACTTTTGTAAAAAGAGGATGAAGTCTACGTTAGAATAAACAAAACATCGCTTTCTAATAAAAAGTTGAATATTGATCTGTTAGTTGCTTAATTGAATAGATCCTAATAAAGTATAGCACAGGAAAATGTTTATCAAATTTGAGAAAACTACTATCGATCTTCTGTGAAGTATTCAATCGAAGATCCTCGCTGCGAATCTGAGGTGTGAGGTTGTTAATGCTCAC